GCTTCGCACTCTTTAAGAGCTATATGTCATTTATGTTAATACCTAGTCGAACGAAGAACTCTGCAGGGGAGAGAGATGGGAGACAGATGTGAGGGAAGTTTGGATACCTAGGTAATTATGCGTCTCCTACCATATCGAAGTAGGTTGGTTATACGTGTTATAGTTGATGATGATGATGATGATGTAGACGACGTCCTATACACGACCTACCTACATACACTATTCCACTATGTCCATATGTATATGCTCCAACGCTAACTTGTACTTCTCATGTAGCACCTCTCGCCTGCGCATGTACCCATGTACGAAAGAGGCACGTACTATAGATGTATGCATCGAGGTACATCTTCATTTCACAATATCCCATACATACATACATACATACATACCTAGGGTAGGTATGTAGTACCTTAGGTATCCCATACGCAAGAGCACGCGAGGACTACCACGTTGTGTCTCGGATAGGAAATAGGAAAGTCTGCCGCCAAGCCGTCTTAGACCTCGGAGACAATCTCGATCTAAGCGTCTCGCACGAGGTCGAAGATTGAGATTTCGAATCCGATCTCTTCTATTCGTCTTCTGTCGTCATCATGATGATGGTTTCGCGCATCTGTCGAAGAAAAAACCTGGGAATATATACGATACCTCAGTTATCAATTGCTCTTCGTATACGCCGCTTGGTTCTCTTCTATTAATAGCAAACAGGCCGTCATGTCATGTTGTGCTCCCTTCTTTTTTTCTTTTTTTTTTTGAGTTCTTCGTTACGGTACTTTTATCGTCCAGCTTGCATATGGGCACGCATACACATACATATGTCACAATGGAGACAGCCATCTTCAAAACTCCAGGTTGCATAAATAAGGGCGTGCGGTACCATACCCGTTAAAGGGAAAGCTAGGGGGGTTTCGATAGATAGCGCAGATGCATGCGAGTCCATAGTGTAGCCTCCCCCCCTCCCCTCCCTCTTCAACCCTCGTCCTCTACTACCCACCTTATTTGTAAGGTCATGCATGATGGTAGACGCAGGTCCGAGAGGATGAGGTTAAGCGCGGCTCGCAAAGTTACAAACCGTCTAGGATCTTTTTTGGCGTGGTTCGTGATTAGCGCGGTCCTGTATTATGTAGTACACGCTGGCCTTTGGTTTGCAGTCTCGCGTGTACATATTACATAGTAGATACGGTACGACTATGGTACTAGTAAATGCGCGAGTGAGAAAGGGAGGGCAAAGTATATGGAGCCGCTGATTGCTAGCTTAGCGTTGCAGATAGTTAAGTTGGAATTATACTACATTGTATACTATATGGCATACTACATGGTATACTACATTATATGTATTGCGTAGTAAATGCTTGTTCATTGCCCAAGGTTGGTTAGCGGAAAAGGGGAACGAAATCCGGAGACGAAAGAGGGTGTACTGTGTAGTATCTTAAACTCTTAGCCCTGACGAGTATTATGTTAAGCTGGCTGGCTGGGGGGTTTTCTTTTCATGTAGGTATGCTCTATCATCGTCATCGCGTCAAGATCGAGGTCGCCGATCGTCATATCTGCATCTTAAAGTCTTCACCTGCACACCTTACGTACTATGGTAGCCTTGGATAGATTGCTTACCCATCTTACCCATCTTATCCCCCTACCTACCCACACCTATATGCCCCATTCAGTAATGCGGTACGTATTCCGCTGGTGTGATCGTCGATCGAGGAGAGTCCTTGGAGAGATCACTTTAGGATCTCGGACTAGCAGGGTCCAATGGTTCATTGCCGGGATATGGTTTCTAACTCTACCACGGCTGATGTTCGAATCTCTCGTCAGCCGTTTCTTGCTTTCCCTCTCTGTTACCCGGTTAAGAAGAACCCCGTCTCACCCGATAAAATCTAGATCGGAATCGTGACCGGATCCTTCCCTTTTTTTCAGCTCCCGTGAGCGCGCATTATTAAATTTTAGCTGCTCTTGTGACATCCCTATACGGAGTTTGACGTCGTCTTCATCATCCTTATCCATCTCCGCCTCCGGTGGATTAGCGAGACACGGATGCGCGGTTGTCGTGTTCGTCCCTGGAAGATAAGCACTAATGCCGGTAGCGAGAAGCCTATAGGCGACGAGGCGTACGAAGCCGGTGTCATCGTTCGAACCTCTCATAGTTGGTGATGAGGGTAAGGTAAGGTAAAGTTGTGTCACCACTCCCTCTTCCGGAAAGTTAGCGTCGTTGCGCATGCAAGTGATATCGCATTGGCGTAGACCTACTACGTAGGCCTTGGTATCGGGCGTCAGTAGGTCCCTCTATAGCTTTATGTACCTCGTGCAGGAGACGGGACTACGTCCTTTTGTCTAGGTATTACCTACACATTACCTACATATTACCTACCTAACCTACCTCTACACATACAATACCTTAGGTACTCAAGTAATACTCTCAAGTCGAAGGGGGGAGGGGGGGGGGTATCAGGGGGTATCAGTCGCAAGGGCTGCTTAGAAACCAATCCGTTCTGTATCCAACCTTCGCCAAGACATGCAGGTAGCCTCTCGTGGTAACAGCCTAGACAAGGAGTATCTCTTTATTCATGTTTTACTCCTAAATTAGCTCCGTCAGGACCACAGTGGTGGGATCGCGTCCTCCTGCAGCTGCGGTCGCACAGTCAACGTCAGATAAGCTGGAGAAGCGAAGTGATAAATCACCAGTCAATCTACATATCTGCCGTATCTGCACCGGATGTCACAATTCCCCACTGAGACACTAAGAGGACATGCGCATATGAGCGTACTCGGCCCGCGTCTTAAGAGACACCGAAACCGAGTCCCTCCGTAAAGTCGAACAAAGTCCGGATGTGTCCATTTTTGTCGTAGAACAAACAAGCTAGATGCCATGTGGTAATCGGAATATTGCAAACGTAGATAACCGTTGTAACCTTCCGCCGTATCGGGTACGTGATCTAGATCTGTACCTACGCGGTAACCAGCAAGTACCAAGCTAGCCAAGCCGTTTGCCGCGGCACGAAGACTTAGAAAGGCGATGGCCTAGGGACCGGGTCACATCGAGCACGATCACGAATTCAGATGTAATTGCGGGGTTTACCCATAAGTAATCTACGCAGGCTCAGGGCTAAGACGACATAGGAATGGGTTGACTTTGTGCTAAACGTTAGGACGGGTGGAGTCGACGTCTTTCGATCCTCTTTGGACTCCTCTCTCTTCCTAGTATTCCGGGAATTTCCCCTCATCAGTCATCTCGCATGGTTCCAGGTGGGTGGCTTATGCGTTTCGCTAAGTCCAAGCGAAGAGCATCGCCCCGAGATGACCGCGACCCAAGATCTGGAATGATCCGGGGCATTCCTGGCTCCAGGTAGGATGGATGGGTGACAGGCATATCCCGCAGCAGCACGAGAGCGTATTTCGATAATTACTGCGTCGGTAACCGAATCTTAGCGAGCGTAGGGCCGAATCGCCCGGCTTATCTAAGGTCCGCATTAGACTTAAGTCTCGTCACGATATCAGATAGCTGACTCTAGTCGAGCAGCAAGTCGTCGTATGGGGAAAAGGCGGTTTGCGCCCTCAGCTGATGAAGCCTGAGTATATACAACTAGCTACCCTAGCCTTACCACGAGGTATAGAATGTGGTAAGGCTGGATAGTCTAGACTCGACCTAGATGATGACGAGTGATAGCCGTATTTAATAACGAAAGAGTCAAGTGGTATATTTCACGAGGGGGCGCAAACGAGTCGTTAAGGGATCCGACTGGGTCGCGAAGGGACCTATGAGGATGGAAATGCAGAGCCTCTCAAGCTTGGCATGGTCAAAGCTGGGGGTGAAGAACCCCTCGTTCATCTTGCGTGCTGACATAGTGCTTAGCAGTTCTTACGCGATGCTCTAGAAACCCCTGAGAGACTGTTGCCGGCCATGTTGTGCAACACCAAGTCTCCTGAGGGGATCCTCAGATGGTTGATCTCGCGTTCTTTTCAGTCGCATTTAGCATATGCCGTGTCGTCCCCTTGTTTGTTGTACCACAAATATTCCATATCGCGGGGGTGTCGGATCGGTAGCTTAGGGGGTTAGGTCGTATCCCATCGACGTCTGGGATAGGTAATAAAAAGTGCAAGTCACACCACATCAAAAATCTTACTACATGTATGTATATGTATATGCAGTACGACGCACTCTTTTTTATTCTCTCTCTCCTCCCCCCCTAGTCGGCCAATGTCCCATTACGTACGTAGTTGCATGTGAAGAAAAAAAAGAAGACCCTTCAGATTTATTATTTTGTTTCTTTTTTTTTTGTCTTCTCGGCTTCGCATTGGTCTCGAATCGTAGCCCCTCTAATACATCTATGAGGAATCCGAAGACGTCCATGCAGACTAGAGTCACAATCTATTCCCTATTTTTGCCCTCCAACCAAATCCATCCCTGACATCTTCACACACATTAATCCGTACCAACCATTTTGCTTTTGGTCGAAATCGAGCGCGAAAAAAATAAATGCTGCATGCCGAATTATGCGACGCGAGAGAAATATAGGAAATGAATATGCTACCTGCCCGTCCCGTAGAAGCCGTCTGATTAAGTATCGCACGGCAACCGCGCGAAAATGAGTTCTCTCTAGCTCATTCGCCGTCCACTATGCTAAAACCCTAAAGCCGTCAACTTATTACTCGGGTGTGCTAAAAAGCCCGTCCTCCGCCTTCTCTGACGAAGAATTAATACCAGGTACCGTTTTAAAAGGGGGGTTCATAAAATAGCCGATGCCCAACTATGTCCAAAAAAAAATTCCAAGACCAATGCCGTGTTATAGGCTGAAAGCTATTGGCCGCAATCCATGTCTCAGGTAGCGGTCCTATACCGTATGAGTACCGTTTTGACCTCTTCCGATAAGCCCCTTCGGTGAAACGAATCGTAGATATAACATTCATGAATCGTAAAATGCGTAGCCTCTTGTCGGGAGGCCGTAATCATTCGTGCTAAAATAGCCGAATAAAGATCCGTGACGGAACAGAACCCCCACGTGCCACTAGGATAGTCCCGCAACCACGGCGATCGGCGGGATTTCTCTCTCGTAGTCAAGAAGCAGTTCTTTCTCGGAATATTTGGTGCGGTGGTTGCGCAAGGCCAAGGCGTTGCTGATCATACGTTCGAGATCATCATGTCGAGGCGAAGGCGTCGCAATGCTGTTGCTCCTTCTAGGACGAGGAGACATACGCAAGGCGTCGTTAGCATCACCATCGGGTCGACTACCCCAAGAGGTCTATCGCCGTATTAGCATTAAGATTAAAAGTCCAATGATTTGATATATGCCTTACCATATTCAAGGTTATCAGAGCGTATAGCTTGATCAAACCGTGGAAGTAGCCGAATATGATGGAGACAGGGAGGAAGATAATGTCGGTCGGGTTACGTCGAAAGAGTCCGATTAGCTTGACCACCTTAGTGAAAGCGAACATGTAGATAAACTGAGCCCAGAACAAGCGCTGGCGAACTTCCAAGTCCCAACCCTCGGTGCCCCACCAGAGAGAAGCCAGTAAAAGGGGATCAACGAGGAAAGCTAGGGAAGTAAAGGTTGCAATATGAAGAGCGTAAGTGGACCATGGTTGTTGACTAAGACGAAAGACGATAGTTAGTTTATGAAAAAAGCAACCTCGTTGGGGTAGTTTAATGTTACAAGAGGACAGGGGGACAAGGGAACAAGGGGACAAGGGGAGAACATATGGGGAACAGGGGTTTAAACGAAAAAGGGCAGTAAGAAAAACTTACGTAATCACATATCTCTCTCGAACCAAACTCGTCCAGTTGCTTCGCCAGTTACTTCGCGCCCATCGCGAGCACTGATAGAGAAATTTAAGGCCATTTTCGAGGGTAGTCTCGATCTCACATTCGCGTTCGTACTGGATCCAGGTCTTCCATTGGTGGCTCACCAGCCAGCGGGTCACGAAATTGTCGTCGTCAGCGTTCAGGATATAATCGCGCCATCGCTCGGTCTTGAACCCCTCCAAAAAGTCATGGCTCGACAAGATTTCCGATCGGTAAGCCCCGGTACGGCCAGACATACAAGAAGTTCCTCCGTCAACATTGTGGGTGGCTGAGATCTCGAAGTTGCGGCGCTCGATGTAGGCTGCTCCGAGCCAGTTGAAGATCTGGGTCGACAGGGATCCGTCCGGCTCTCGGCGTACACGTTGGCAAGTGCCAACGCCTCCGATCTTCGGGTCTTCGAAGGGAGCAAGGATCCACGGGATGAGAGTGGACGGCCAAGTAACATCGTCATCTGCCATAATAGTAATTTCGGTCCTCACCTTGGGAAGCGCCTCGCAGACTTGAAGTCGCTTGTTGGCAATAGGCCCGGACAGCACGCGAATATTAGAAGTCGAGAGGGTTTTCACCAGTCTTTCCAGCGCCGCGTGCTTATCCAACGTTGTCACGAGGATCAGTTCATACGGTCGACAAGCCAGGATGCTCTCCAGTGAGGGACGAAGCTCCTCGAAGGCGTTGTGAATGGTAGGAATAATGACCGTCACGTCATTAGAGCAGTATTTAGGCTTGATGGGAATAGGCTTCGACTTGTAGGTCCAGTGGCTAACCACGTGAACGACTAGACGCAGGTAGCGGTGCACCCTGGTAGAGAGTTAGATATTTCAGAACATGGACCAGAAGTTATCTAATACAAGAAACCGCAGCAATTGTGAATGCGCATAACTTACCACAAGAGCCAGAAAGTATACCACCAGAAGTTTGGTGATGAAAGAAAGCTAAGGGGCACGTGAAAGAGGCCCGGCAGGGGTGTGGTGATGCCCATCGTGGATAATTCTCTCCGGGAGAAAGATGAAAGATCCAGATAAACGTATTAATGTATTGTGACGTATTAAACGTCGTTGTCAAGAATTCTATTAGGAAAGGTCCAAATTGGTCCAAAATTTTATTCCTGTTTGTTCTTATTTTAACTAGGAAGTTTGTGAAGGCGCGTTGCTTTTGCGTACGAGCCGGTCGTCTGAGTGATCTCCTGGGAAGAAGTTGACAAATCCTCACCAGGTGTCTATCAGTCGACTTCCAAGTAACTAGATGTATGGAGTCAGCTGTTTGTTTGTTTGGTTTTTGATTTTACCTCGGAAAGAAATACGAGCAAGGTAAGTTCCAATTTGCGGAGAGGAACTAGGATGTAGTTGGTTCGTTGTAAGAGCCGCAATAAATAGAAACCACAGCCCCTCCAAGCGGCAACCGCAAACAAGTGACCAAGCGAACTTGCAAAGCGGAGCAAGTGCGAAGTGATATGCGTATTCGGGGAAACGGTAATGACGGGGCAGAAAAGTGAAAGAATGGACATTAGTGACTACTTACCTATTTAATAGTTTAAGACGTGACGTGTGTCTATCTTCCGAGATCTGGACTCAACGAAGTGAAGTCACGCGTAATAAGAACGGGGAAGAGGGGGGGGAGGGCATAAAAATCAGACGAGGCCCTTCTTTGCGTCTATGATTGATAGACGAAATTAGGAACAATAGACGAAACCGGGACTTATGCAACGGTGGCAACTATTAGTAGTCCCTTGTAGCTTGAGATCTCCGATGAATGTATTGTAGACAACGACAGAAAGAAGAAATCCCCGAATCCAAGTCCTCGAAACGAGAGTTTGTCCTATCCACCGGACGAGAAGAACAACCTCGAGCTCCCTTTTGTTTCTTTTCCAGGCGAGGTAAATCTAAGCCGAGACGGAGGCAGGGCCGGTAACAACAATATAATACACAACAGACTAAAGGAAAACCCTAAAGAAAAGAAGCCATTACAATGATCAATGGGCTTCCAGAGGACACAGGAGAAGTCGTCAAGATGAAGCCAGCGGGCCAGACCCGGGAGAGGAGGCAAGGATATATAGGCGATGGACCCATATGAACATGACCCCATATGAGGAAAACGGTCGATGTGTATACCTACCTTAACTATTTCCCTTTCCCCTACATACATACGTAAACGATGAACTATGCAATGGGACATAATTATGGGGTTATAATATGGCTAAGAAGATAAGTAGGGGGCATAGCAAAGTACGAAGAGACATGTAGGCATATGTAGGTGTATGTAGGCATGTAGGCATGTAGGCAGGTAGGCATGTAGGCAGGTAGACAGGTACCGTACCTACATACATGAGGTAGTCTCGTACATGCGTACATATGAGTAAATACACGAAATAAGTAAGGGTAGTTAGTGGAAATGTAGAGTAGTGCTTAGATCGACCCGTATGCAGCTTGTAGATGATGGGAACAGGTACCTTGCCAGAAAGAAGACATGGAAGTGCGTATAGGTTAATAATACTTTGGGACCTTGGGTCCGACGTGCATATTATTATTACAATACTAAAAACGAAAGCGAGAAAATAAAAATAAATAAATAAAATCTAAGAGCTTTAATCTTAGACCACGAACTAAAAGGGGAAAAGAAGAGACATAAAATGATAAAAACCGAGCATATGAAATATAATATACTGTATTAATTTCAAAAGGGACGTCAAGGCCGAAACAACCTTACAATGCTACCTGCCCAGGCTAGGTACCAAAGGATGTTGATGTAGGTTAGAGAGAGAATAGGAAAACGGTTCCAATGTCACATAGGTTATAATAGACACCCCGAACTGCCTATCAAAAGTAGCTGGGAAAGTTAAATACAACCGAATAAGAAACGAGACACAGACCGAGAGAAAAACAGGAATGGTAAAATTACTCCCCTTTTTTTTTTTACGATTGTTTATTTTGTTCTCTTCAGTTGGTACTTCTCGAACCGATTGAGAGAGCGCGTGACGGTTTGAGGTTAGAGGTTAAGAAAAAAAAAAGAAGTGACTGGACTTTTTAGTTAGAAGAGGAGAACCTGAAAAAAAATTCATGGTTTTCCGGAGCCACCTATTTCCAGTTTGACCAGTTGCAGAAGCGGTTGCTGCTAAGAAATGTCCGGTTTTGGAGGTTGGGGTCGGGGTGGGCGTACTAGATTTGGCTAGCTGGGGCTGGGGCCAATGTGGAACGGGGATTATACTTTATGGACATATGTACCTCCTACTCTAATTCTCTATTAACTCTCAGGTAACTGAAGAAAGCTCAACGGCAAGGACGAGGGATAATGGCGGCGCAGTGGATTGTAAAGTAGGTACCGCATGTAGTGGGCATGGTAGACAGGGAAGGCGTAGTGGGGTTTATGTTTACAGGGCACCGGGGGGTGTATAGATGTAGATGGTACTGGAGCTCTCTAAAGTTTAGAAGTCTAAACCGCGTTAGTTCGATAGCAAACTTACAGCTGCACTAAACCAACTACTTAGGTAGGTTCTTCACAGGGCTCTTTAAGCGGCTACCGTAGCGAAAAGCACCTAAGCGGAGCACCGTGCAGCGCGTATCCAAGCTACCTAGAGATGCCTAGGCTATACTTTGCAGACTAAAAAACTAGAAAATGGGGTCAATTCAACATACCTAAGAAAAAGTGCTATCTTTTCGGGTACTTGGCCGGTACATTACAAGACTTAGACGAATACTTGCAATACAACCTTAAACCTACAAGACGACCTACCGAACCTACCAGGTCTACCAAGACCTGCCAGACCTACTGGATCTCATCCCATCGTGCGGCGATACGCTTACAAGAATACGAATAATTATGCGTAAGAGATGAATGATAGTGACCTGACTTTCTATCATCTGTATATTTTTCCCTTTCATCTCACTGGTGTACCAGAATAGAAACACGAGATTCGTAATTTATATGTAAGTGAAGGGTTTCCCTCCGAAGTTCGCATGTATGGTTGACACATTAAAAGGGCTATGATAGTAGTATGCGTAGCATATGTAGGTAAATGTTGGCAGATGTTGGCATATGTACGGTACATGGCTCAATCAGGTCTTCCTAATTGATGATTAAACACAGTCAGCGCGTACGGACTGAACGAGCTCGTGAGAGTGAGTTCGGCCCTGTCACTGGTGGGAGCTGATTCTGGGACCCTACGGCTCGCAAGTCACTAAGACCTGTCGAGCCGACTAAAGATCCCGGGTCTCAAGCGAATCAGACTCGAGATGTGCTGCTGTGGAGCGTAAATCGATCTTCACAAAGAACGGCTCCGTATACAACTTCGAACGATCTCGCTCTTGGCGATTGGCTAGAGGTTCATCCGGGCTGTCTACTAGTGAACTTAGCGCTGATCTGTAGCCTCCACGATGGACGCTATCAGTGGGATCAATGGGCCTAGGATTACGAAGGTGCTGGGGAATTCCTTGTGCGATGGCGAAAGCACGAATTCCCGCCTGCTGAATGGAGGGAAACATCCTATTGCTCCTCTAGATGTTATATGAAGATCTAATGGCCAAGACATGGGCTATAGTAGCCGCGCGAGTAGAAGATCCGAAAGCTTAAAGCGTGCGGCCCCCAATATTCTTTAATACCTATAGCAGCTAGCTATAAGTATTCATCATTCGTCAATATTTATCAAACGGGTAACCCTACCGGCAGCATCAGCAGCAGCGTGCCGGGTACCCAGTTAATAAATCCAGGTTATAAGATAGGACATGACATATATCTCTAGAGTCGTCGTCTGGAAAAGCTTCCTCGGTTCCGCTTGTCCATGATTGCAACGCGCCCTAGACATACGAGAATCATTGCTGTCCCCTATCAGCGCTTGATAATACGTATTATACTACTTAACCTCGTCACGGCCGTCTGTCATTGGAGAAAGCGTGACGACTTTGCGTCTACGTGGACGTCTGGAAACACTGGGTCCGACGAACCGTCCCTGTAAGTAGCACGGGTCTCGCCAGATTTTGGGTTGGATTCGATACATCATTTTAATTCACGGTGATCTGGAAAATTCCATTCACGGCGGGTTTTCCAGAATTCGTGGCGTGGTTGGCTCCATGCAGAAGCAACTGAAACCTCTGCGTGTGCGCGTTGCTATAATAACGATCTACTAGGAAGTAGTACCGGGTTGGTCCGGCCCCCCGTGTGTTGAAGTTACACTGTCGCCCCTCCGTATGTTGGTTCAGACGACGATACCTGCATATATGCTCGTCGTCGGTGGTACTTATATGTCAACCCCCACAGATTCATTATGTAAGGCAGTGGGAAGTTCCATATCAAATACCGTATGCGCGTATGTACGTGCGCATAGCTTGCAAGTATAGCGTATAGCGTATAGAGTATAGCTTGGATAGCTTCTCCTATCGCCGTTGCTGCTGGTCTCTTGTTCTGGAGTTGACGTTTGCCGGCCACTTACACGACACCCCGTTCTCGAAATTGCGCATATGATAGAGGTCGACTAGCACACGTCCCGCTTGCCGGAGTGTCGTGCTATTGTCCCGCAAACTGCGCCTACGCAGCCACCCCCTTAAAGAAGATGCTAATGATACCTATTAATCGCGATAGTCAACGTAACGTATCGCAGCACAGTATCAACGCGCCCTTAAATTTTTTTTTTTTAATATTATTATTTTTCGCGCCTCCCCTACTGACAAGGGAATAGGGAGAAAAAAAATTCAAATAAGAATCTTCTTTGCTCAGGAATAGGTGATAAGATGAGATGTGCATGCGTCCTTGCCGCAAAGGCAGGCAAGACATTGGAAGCCATGAAAAGTTGAGGCTTGGTTGTCATTCTGCGAGGTGTTATTATTCCTCGCCGGTGCAACTTGCGTGTATTTATTTCCGGTAGAGTCGCAAGATTTAATGCAGCCTGCAAGACCAAACAACGACCTGCCGATTGAAGACTGCTGCCGACAGGGTTCGATGGCCGTCATTGTCCCCTATCCTGGTTTTCGAGTTATGATATACCATTTAGAT